ATGACTCTATGGATAGACAAAAGGTTAAAGATACTTTGGCCTACATTTGGTAACCGTTATTTTACATTCAAAAAACTTCATCCACTGGGGTTGCTAGACTAGGAGATGAGTCAGTCAGCTTTGGCCCTGGTGCTTCTCTTCAGCAATCTGTGGAGTTCATTGTTCAGACAAGGCAAGGAAGAGGAGTTTAGAAAAGACCCTTAGACATAGTAGGTACCCAGCACATATTTGTTTAATTAATGAAGTAATTAATTTCTGGGATCGATGAAAGATTTTCACCATCACTAAACAGCATTTTTAAGGCCTTCCATAAGCATGGAAACAACACAAATCGTGATTCAGAAGAGTTATGCTTTTGTTAGTGAAAATGGACATGCTGGCTAAATAATAGTATTCACAAAATGAAAGGCTTTGTTTCAGAATGGAAGCAAGAAAGAGCAGAAAAATCAGTGGCTCTGAAGTTAGAGGTTGTGGATGTGGATTTCCTTGGTTCTCTCCCTTATTCTACATGGCCTGGGTAAATAATTCATTTCATTGAGACTCAGCTTTTTCATCTACAAAAGAGGGGATTGGATGAGATAACCACAAAGACATCTTCCATCTCTAAATCTATGCTCTCAGACACAATTTTAACACAATTTTTTTCAGTTTTGTTTTTGTTTTAGCTTTTATTTAGTATTTTATTTTCCCTAGTTATATGTAAAAACAATTTTTAACATTTGTTTTTAAAACCTTAAGTTCCAAATTTTGTACCTTCCTCCTTCCTCACCACACCCCCATTGAGAAGGCAAGCAATTCCATGCAAGTTATATATGTGTAGTCATGCAAAACATATCCATAATAGTCATGTTGTGGGAAAAAAAAAACTCAAGAAAAATAAAGTAAAAAAAAGAGAAAGTATGCTTCAATCTGTATTCAGACACTATCAGTTCTTTCTCTGGGGGTCGATAGCATTTTTCATCATAAGTCCTCCAGAATTGACTTGGATAGTTGTGTTGCTGAGAACAGCTAAGTCATTCACAGCTGATCATCTTACAATATTGCTGTTACTTTGTACACAGTACATTTCACTTTGCATCAGCCCATGCAAGTCTTTCCAGGTTTTTCTGAGAGCATCCTGCTCATCACTTCTTATAGTGTAATATTATTCCATCATAATCACGTACCACAACTTGTTTAGCCATTCCCCTAATTGATAGACATCCCCTCAACTTCTAATTCTTTACCCCCAGAAAAGAGCTGCTATAAATATTTTTGTACATATAGATCCTTTTCTTTTTTGGGTTTTTTTTTATCCCTTTTGGAATACAGACCTAGTAGTGGTATTGCTAGGACAAAGGGTGTGCACGGTTTTATAGCCATGGGCATAGTTTCAAATGTTTGAATCAGTTTACAACTCCACCAACAATTCATTAAAGTCTCACTTTTCCTGTATCCCTTCTAACATTTATCATTTACCTTTTCTGTCCTATTATCCAATCTAATAGGTACGAAGTTTTAATTTCATTTCTCCAATCAATAGTAAGTTGGAGGGCAGGTAGGTGGTGCAGTGGCTAGAGCATGGGCCCTGAAGTCAGGAGGACCTGAGTTCAAATCCAACTTCAGACTAAATGCTTAACACTTACTAGCTGTGTGACTCTGGGCAAGTCACTTAACCCCAATTGCCTAAAAAATAATAATAATAAATCAGAATATTTCTTCATATGGCTATAGACAGCTTTGATTATTTCATCAGAAAACTGATCATATCTTTTGATCATTTATCAATTGACACATTTTTTTACCAAAGTGGCTATAAAATGAGTTTGTAGAAATCAAATCACATTCTTTTTCTATGAGTACTATTTAAAAGTTGGAAATGTATTCTCATAGGAAAAAAATGTACTCTAAGGTATCACTCAGTTAATCTGTAAACATTCATTTAGTGCCTACTACATACCACTTACTATGCAGAGGATACCAAGCCAAAAATGAAACAATCCCCACTTTAAAAACATACTTTATATTGAAAGAGACAATACATATATGTATATGTATCTGTATGTGTATGTATATACATATAAAGATATATATATATGTATACATATATATCTAAGTATATAGAAAAAACTATACAAGCTAATTTGGTGGGGAGCACTAATATCTAAGGGAAATGAGAAAGAGATAATCAAAATCATCCATAATTATTAGTTACTGCTTGCTTTTCTTTTTCTATTGGGAAAAGAAAAACAAAGCCCTTGTAACAAATAAAAAAGAAGAAATTTAATTCTCAAGGCTCCAGCATTTTAGTAGTGCTTCTTTCATTGACCCAGAGAATAACCCCATTACACCTTAATAGTGTTCATGGGTTGCTATGGCCAAGCGGTTGGTGGTGAGCCTTTCTAAACTTAGCTAGAACTCATTGAGTACACTGTCACATCTATACTAGGTCTTGCCAGCTTAGAAGGAGCTGCCCGAGCTTATAGTCTACTGGAAGTAACCCCAAGAATCCAGGACCAACCCCAAACCACAAGTAATCAACAGAGAAGTACTTTAGTAGAGGACTTGAGGAATTAGTCAAGGAAAATTTATTTTTCAATAAAAGAACAATACAACTTAAACTCAGTTACAAAGTAGAAATATCTGGAATTCAAAATATATATGCCACATTCATATAGATAGATAGATAGATAGATAGATAGATAGATAGATAGATAGATAGATAGATTCATAGGGGAAGATCTGAATTCAAATCCCACCACGCATATTAGTTGTGTGGCCATGGACAAATCATTTCTCAGGCTATAAGTTGCTAAGCAGGTGCTGGTTCCACTTAACAGAAGTTCCCTTACTGGAAGCCCTTTCTCCTACTGTGGGGGAGGGAAGGAAGGAGGGAGAGGAAGAGAAGAGAGTTCTTAGTAGCTGCATACAAGGATACTACACTTATTAACATGAGTTATCTAGGGGTCATTTACCTGGCCAAATGGATAGGACCTATCCAAATGGATAGGAAAAAAGAAAACAAAAGGCTTCACCATCCAAAATAAATGTCATAAAGTCACTTTATTTATCAGTGCCTATTTACTCTTACTCTAGACATAGTTCTTACATATTTTGTGAGTTTGTATCAGATATTGATTATCTTCAGCAGAGAAGAAGAAAAAAATGGAAAAGATCAGGTATGATACTGTTAAGACATTGGTGAACTGCTGATAATATGAAGAACCTGTTAGCAGCCCACAACCAAGGGAGAGAGAGAGAAATTACAAAATGCAGAAACAGGGAATAGAAAACCAAAATAATTTGTTTGGGAACTGTTGTGGTAGATAAAAGGCACTCTGAAGTGAATGCTGAATTTTAGGACAATAAGAAGAAAAATGAAGAAAAGCTCTGTTTAAAAATATTAGAGCCATAGATTTTGAGCTAGAATAGGTGTTAGAGGTCATCTAATAAAATCCCCTCAGTCTACAGATGTGGAAACCGAGGACTCAAGAAGTAATTGCTCAAGTTCTCATAGGATCTAGATATGGATATATAAGGATATGGATATAGATTCTTTTATTCCAAATCCAGCAACATTTCCAATATTCTGCACTACTGCTTAAAGTATAGAGCATATTAGAAAGGTTTCTATCCAAAATGGTTACAATAACGAGGGTTTTAGTTCTTTGAGGGGAATAAATTTCTACATTCCTTTTAAAGAAACATGAAACAAATATATTTTTAAGAAGGTGTTTGTGACAGTTGTTTGTCATTACTTACAATAAAGACAAGGCACCTGGTATAGTTTCAACGCATATATTCCCAAGGCCTGCGTTTGTTTAGTGAGGGATGTATATTTCTATTTTTTTAAAGAATTGAATGGGCTGCTTTGGCAAACCACATGCAGGCTGCCAATAAAACTTCAAGGGCTTCTTTACCACGAATATCCTCCAATTTGTGTGGATAACAGCCTCTTCGCTACCCAACAATCTTGGTGAATAGCTATAGCTGAAAATAAGCCTCAATCAGTTAGCAGGAAATAAGAAACAATGGATACAAGAGGCAGAGGCCTGACATAAGGAAAAACCTCTTAAGAGCTAGAAATGCCTCAAGGTCAAAAGTGTTGCCTTGGGTCCCCCCTCAGTAGAGATTCTCAGATGATGACTGGATAACCATTTGCTCAGTATGTTGTAGAGGGATTCTGGCTCAGACATGGGTTAGATGACTGCTGAATCTTCTATGAAACTTCCTTTTAACTCTGAGTTTCTATGAAACAAGGAGGATCCTGGAGCAATCAGATATATTGTCTAGGAAAACAATTTACCATGGGCAGTTAGTAACCTACAAACAAAGATTTAGGTTGAGAATGTCACCTAATGTTCTCAAAGAAATATACTGCCTTGGGAAAAGTCTTGCAGTTCACCAAATCAATGACTGAAATATTGCTCATACTTTACAAAGGGGCAGAGGAATGTATGTTTATTTTGTGGCATTAACCTGCTTTTTATTGATTGAAGGGTGGGGCCAAAGGATTCACTGAAGCAGGGCTGCTTCACCTAAAGAAGGTTAATAATAATAATAATAATAATAATAATAATAATGACAGAAAGCGTAAAATAGGTTAAAACAAACAAACAAATAAATAGAGGCTTAAAAATAAGACATGTGTACCCACAGGCAATAATCTTCCCTCTTCTTTCTCACCAAGAACTACCTTGAATAAAGTTAGCACCCTGGCAGCCAGTATATGTGTATGGGCAGACTTAGAGTGATTGGCCATCAATATCATTTCAGTCATTGTACAAATGTATGAGCTCTTTACTTCAAACTGATTGGGTTTTCCAATTTCAGTAACCAGTTAGTCTGCTCATTCAGGCATCTTTCCTCCATATGAGAATTCTTCCTTATTACAAGGTCACTTTCACCTTATATCTCTGCCTTCTGTTTGGATCTAAAATATCCAGGTGTTTTCAATATTAAAAGACACACATATCTTATCCTGTTTGAAGATTATATTTGGGGTTTTCCCCAGGGTCCTTTACATTTATTTCATAATAACACTACTAGTAGATGATCCATTTTCTTTTTTAATTAGGATGTCCTCTGCTTTTCCTTTTTTCTCCTGCAGATACATACACCCAAAAAAAATTAATTAATCAAGAAATATCTTTGTGAGATATGAAACAATTAAAATGCAATTCTTGACTGGGTGTTAGTGAATCAAGTGAATCTAGAATTAGTTGTTCAGTATTATCATCATCAAAGCTAAACTTTCACTATAAATGTAAAACATATCTGATAAGCTTTGTTACATAAATTAAACATCATTTTTATTTTTTTTAAATGTATCTCTAGGTCTGCTGTGCTGGGTATCTAGTAACAACTTAACAGAGTGTCTGTTATCAACCAGTGATTATGATAAGTGCTGCCTTGGAAAGAAGCAAATCCGAAGAAGTAATTGGATTTGCTAAATCCTGCTTTGCCTTGGCTTGGGTTCTGGCACCTGCAACAAAAAAAAAAAAAGGACAGCTGTTCTGGACACCCACCAAGTAAATACTATTAAGCTCATTAACACAAACCTTTTGGCTATGATCAAGTGTAGGATCAGTTTAATCCATTATGTGTCTTCTGCCTTGGGACTCTGCCTTGCCCTGTGACTCTGAGAGGTTGGGAGGAGGGACTTGGCAAGCCAACAAAATCTTTTTCATCTCTAACAGCTGTTATTTATGAGCCCTGTAGTATAAATGGCATAATAATGATAATGAGAATAATACCTTGGATAGGAAAAAAAAACACTCTAGTTCTAGGGAGCTCAAAGATCTTTGCTGACATTTATTTAATCTAATTAATCCCCACCAAAGCTTGGGCCAGAGATTAGAAGTGGGGAGAATTATGCCCAGCTTACAAATGAGAGTACTGTGGCCAAAAAGTGACTTGCTCAAATGCTAAGTAAGCTACTGATGGAGAAAATGTCATAGACAAATTCATCACCTCCTAATACAATGTTATAATTGAAAAACAATTATTGTCATATTTTTCAAATTTCTTTCATAACAGGAAATGTGCATGCATATGTGTGTGCATATGCCTGTCCCAAAATTCACTGAGTAACTTCTAAAATAGTTTCTTAATAGCTGCAAGATTTCATTACTTAGTAATCACATCAAGGCACTTAATAAACACTGGGCAACTATTGTCAACACTACTATCTTTAATAATGGGAAAATGTGAATACATCAGTTCTTCAGAAGCCTACACAAAATAACACGGTGATCTAAGAAAAGAGCTCCAGATAGACATCATTAATGTGTCACCATAGAAAAGCAACAAGGTAGAGTAGATAGAAAGCTGGCCTTGGAGTCAGTAAAGCCTGGGTTCAAGTCCTGCTTCTGATAACACAATAATAATTGTATGACTTTAGACAAGTCACAACTTTTCAGTGTAACTTTTCGGTAGTGAAGGCAACTCTTTCAGTCTGAGTAGTAAAGCTCTACACTGGTAGAGTTAATTTCCTCATCGAGAGTTCACTACACCAAAGAAGTCATAGGCCTAGACAATGAAAAGAGGGGAAATCTCCATAAGAGGGATACCTTTGGCATATGCAATAGTGTGCTAATAAATGCTTAACCACCAGCTCTTCCCTTCCCCCCCAAAAAAATACAGCAGATATGCTCATGTAACACTTTTAAATTTAATCTGTATTATTAATATCTGCTCCATCACTTTCTTAAGTCAAGACAAGTCAACAAAACAATAAATCAAACCCTGATTTGTAGCGTTTGCTGATTTCAGAGGTACAAATGCTCATACTGAAATTTTAACAGTTGTTCTAAGTAGCAGGATCAAGCTGGGTTCTAACAACACTCCTGGGTATATGACATCTGAACCCTAAATTTGTCAAGAAGATTTCTATACTCTCAGAGGGGTCCCTTCCCTCTTGGAGAGCTGTTCCTCCAGTGAAGGTTGAACTTCATGGCCTGAGGAGGCTAAAGGACTCCATTTTATAAGTAAACATGTTTTTTTTGCCTTCCGGAATTGATCTGGTGGCTGATTGCAGATACTGAAGTTAGTATCTCATACCACACAGACTAAAAATAGAAGAAATGAGAAAGATCTGATCAGTTACAAAGTAGAAAGAAAAATCTTACTTCAGCTTTCTTATAAAAAGATTAGATAGATTAGAGATAGAGATAGAGATAGAGATAGAGATAGAGATAGAGATAGAGATAGAGATAGAGATAGAGATAGAGATAGAGATAGAGATAGAGATAGAGATAGAGATAGAGATAGAGATAGAGATAGAGATAGAGATAGATATGAGGCAGCTAGGAAGCACAGTGGAGAGAGCACTGGACTCAGAATCAGGAAGACTCATCTTCATGAGTTCAAATCCAGCCTCAGAATGTGACCCTGAGCAAATTGTTCAACCCTGCTTGCCTCAGTTTCCTCATCTGTAAAATAAGCTGGGAAAGGAAATGGCAAAACACTGCAGTATCTTTGCCAAGAAAGTCCCAAATGGGATCATGAAGAGTCGGACATGATTGAAGCAACGGAATATCAACAACAAAATACATCATATGTGTGTGTGCGTGATTCTTGTGTGTGTGGCATTGAAGGTAATCTGATATTTTTTCTTCTCTGCTTCCACATCTTCCAAACAGTGCAATTTTAAAAAAGAAATCTTGAAGGCCTTTTAAAGTGGTTTGACCCACTACTAAGTGGGAGCATCCCCCAGGATTGGTAAATTACATGAACATAACAAGCATAGGTCGTGGATTTTCTGAAACAGTCCCAGTAACAAGGAAAGAAGATGTCCTTCCAAGGAGGTACACTAGGATAAATAGCTTTTGTGAGAAAGGGCTTCCTAATTTGTGATTTAGGAAATATGTTCTGCATTCATTTGGCTCATACTCCTTTTTGCCACTTAGGCCTCACCTCTGGGGCAGTCTAAGAACAAACAACATCAAGAGAAAGCCGTGTGGACAAAGGGACTAAACCAGGACAGAGTGCCAGCATTTGATCTATTTTGTCCAAAGACCATTTTTAGTTGCTTATGGTCAAAGGAGCATTTGAGGTTTCATTACAAACAGAGCAAACAGCAAAGGTTTGACTGTCTTGTGCCTGTTAAGCTCTCCAATGACCTGTGTGATCTCATCCTCATCGTCTTGTACATTCTTCACTCTGAGCTCAGTCAAAGGGAGGAATCATTTCCCATAGTTTAGTGGTTTTCCACCTCCTTTGCACAGCTGGCCCCATGGTTGGAATGCTTTTCTCTTTCAATTCTGCTTCTTGGAAGTTCTGGCTTCTGTCAGTTCTATATCATATCCTTCATATCAACACATAGTAGATATCTAACAAATGCTTGATAATCGATACTGTGCGTATATTTTTTATACTTTGTCTATGTATCTATTTTATACTATTTATAAATATGTATACACGCACATATATATGTATGTATATATATATACATATATATATATATATATGTGCCTATTTACATGTTGTCTCCACCAGTACAGTGTAAATTCCTTGAGAGCAGAGACCATGTTTTTGCCTTTCTTTGTATCCCCAAAACTTAGCACAGAGCCCCACCACATAATAGGCATTTAATAATGCTTGCTGACTGATTGACATTTGTAAATAACAAGGAAATTGTACCTAGGACAAGGTTTTTTGAAAAATTACTCATTTTAGTACCTTGCATTAGAAAGTATAAAGTATAAAGTATATTTTGTTTTAAGCCCCTGGCCTCCAAGGGATCCCTATCTGGGTTTCTGAGCCCCTGAACAGATAAGCCATGGAATGACTGGGGTCATTTCTTGAATACCAAGCTAAAACAGATCATCAGTCTTCTGTGATTTGCTCCAAATCTAAATTCCAGAGAGCTAATGCTCAAGTTCATTGTTAAACTTCTTGCCTCTATTTTCTGGTTTGTAAATTGGAGATTAAAAGTGTTTGGGGCTTGAATGTCCATTATCCTTTTTAAATTCTCCAAAAGAGAGAGTAATTTTGCCTATCCTTCTGATAGCAGGAGAGTCCTAGGATACAACCTCTGAAGTAAAAAGGGAGGAAAAATCTTGGTTCCTTAGCCTGCATCCCTTGTCAGACTCTTCAAGGCGTCAGCAATGAGACTCTTCCAGAGGACACCAGATTGGTTCATTACAAACAAAAACTTGCTGCCGAGATTGGAGGTATTTGGGCAAAAGAGAGTCAAGACTTGCAAAAGCTGTTAGAGGTATGTTCATGGAACATTTCTTCCAAAAGAATCCATCTTTCTAAAATAGCCTTTGAAAAACCAAATGGCAAAGGCCCCTCAATTGTGAGACTGGATGAACAGATTTCAGAATATGAATGTGCCACATTCACATTACCGTGCCACACACAAAAAAAGAAAAATTATGAAAGTGATGTTTTCAGAGAAACCTGGAAAGACTGTATAATCTGATGCAGAGTAAGGTTAACAGAACCAGTAGAACAATTTGAACAATATCAAAAACTTGTAAAGACAAAAACTTTGAGATTTAAGAACTCTGACGAATGCAGTGTCCAACCATAATTCCAAAAGAGCGATGATGAAAAATGTTAGCCAGCTCCTGACAGAGAGGCAGAGGACCGAGGGTGTAGACTGATATACATATACACATATACATAAATATATACACATATACATATACATATACATATGCATATATAAATACATATGTACACTTACTGGACATGGCAAACATGAGATGTTTTGTTTCACTATGCATGTTTGTTACAAGGGTTTTACTTATTTTTTCAGTGAGGGAGGAGAGAAAATAGATTCTTAAAAATTAGAAATAATTAAATTTAAGTTAAAAAACCCAAAAGGCAAAAATTAAGAGAGTGACGATAGAGTTTCCACTTCTAAGAACTCTAGGAAAATAGTGCTAAAGGTTTACAGCAAGAGTAATTTCAAATGTAAATTTGAAAATATTTTGCATTTCTTCCGGCAGGCTTAGTTTTCATCAGGTGTTTTTTTTTTAAGCTTTTAATTGTTATGGCCTCTTTGAGGTAAAAAATAAAAACACTTTAAATGTGAGTTTTAATTAGGAGCATGAAACATCTGCATCCATTTACATGATATTACAACTGCTAATATGTAAATATGTTGTCAGCCACTGTCCACACAAATGCAAAAGGTCAACAAAATCTTATCCTCAATCACCCATCCACTTTTGATCAATACTCTGCTCACTAATATTCACATAGCATTTATATCCTCTTTAACACAACCCAGAAGTCTGATCACAAGATGACATGATTCTTAAGGGTCCCTTATGAATAATGTTGCAAGATACAGTGTTCATAGCTGTCTCTCCACAAGAGGTCCTCCAGGAACCAGGAGAACCTTTTTGGGCTTAAAGGTCATTATTTTTTCATGGCAGACCAAGATGCACATCTGATAATAGAAATATCACAGAATGACACCACATGGGGAAAATAGATTGGGGGAGGAAGGGAAATAGTGGTATAATATTTTTAAAGTTGCATTTATGTAACTTACATTCTCTTATCTATCTGGAATTCTTTTTCAATTTCTATAATCATTGGCTAACTTTGATTGAATATTATAAGCTCCTTGACAATGTGTATTATTTCTTGCTTTGGCCTTTTAACCCCCATAACAAGGACAATGGCTGGCACAGAAGACACATTTAATAATAATTACCTTGGAGAAACTTTATTTCTTCACATCTAAGTTGGGT